TACTCTCTGATAAAGAGCTAATAACAGCAACGTTTAACTATTCTGCTTTGTAGTCACAAAGTTAGCGCCTTTAGTAAAACAGTACAAAATTTTCTTTAATCTAAATATTAACACTCTAAGTCTATCAATAAACATTTTAATTTAAGCACACCAAAATCAGTATGCTTGTAAGAAAAACTGAAAATCCATCCTGTTTCTCAGAACATAGCCATAAATAAAGTTCTCCACTATAAAGGCTTTCAATTATGATATATACTGCAAAATATTTTCTTTTTATACTATAGGAATGAGAGTCTCATCAATAAATTTATCCAAATGTAAGTCATGACAGTACAGTGAATTCTGTGGCGCTACTCCACACCACCTTCCCACCTACCCATACACATCCATATTCATGCAAACAGATCATAGGTTCACAAGAAAGCATCTCAGCAACATTTTCTAAAGACCCATGATTAACTGATACGTTTAAAGATGAGAATTCATCTTCAGTCTAATAGTGATCATTTACTATGACAATGCTGCCAGATTAAAGTCCCTAAAATAACTTTCCTCTCACCCAAATGTCACTCAAAAGTTTTAATCTCCAGTTTTGGGGTTGCATACAAAATTATCAGTGCTTTAGAAAGAAAGAGTCTGAACCATGTATATACAAATTACCGACATTGTTTCCAACATAAATTATACAGTAGAATCAAGTTGGTCTCTGTATACTATTTCCAGAACAAATATTATCTGTGTTTTTTCATTTGCTTCTGTTTTTTCCGTACCTAGAATGATCTTGTTTTTTAATTTCCTCCCCATCTGTCAAGGTTGACTCTAAGATGAAACTTTTTCATTAAAATATCTATGATCTCTTAAGGCCACATAATTACCCTTACAACACTTACTGACTCATTCACTTACTTTATTTTAGTAACTGATAATCATGACTATTATACTGCTTACTCATTTTGTGTACGTGCCTCACTTCTCTGTGATGGAAAGCTCCCTGAGCCCACTGACCACATCCAGTATTCCCTTTATATATTCAAAGCGCCTAGCATAATAGTGAGCACATCTAAATTGAATATACAGTGAACAGTGCAAAATGAAATCCATTTAAACTGAAGGGATCTGTTTCATATGGAAAAATAGAATATTTAAACTATCACTATCTTGAATAAATCAATAGAAATAAATTGTAACTTCATCTGGAAAAATAAACTTGGTGAAGGATTGCTGAGTGGTGGAACCAACACTGGGGAAAGTGATCAGAGGAGACGTCCCTCACACTTCCAGCTGTCAGAATAATAACATATGTTCTTCATATAACTAAACTCAAAGAGAAAAAGCACCATAAAATGACTCTGAAATTTTACCAAATTTAAAAGCCAGTTATTTATATAAAATACCAATTAGGAAAGAGCACTGGTTAAAAGGTAAAAAGAACTATATTCTATCTTAAAATTTAATATTTTTGAGAATTCTAGCTAAGAAGAAGATATGAACCGAAGACCTGACAACCTTCTATATATATATATATATACATATATATATATACATATATATATATATATACCTTTAAGTCACAAATAAAATAATGAGAGAAAGTAAAAATATGCTGATCTCCATTATCTTAAATAGATATTGCTTCATTTTTCATGCTGATAACTAAAGAAATAGAGGATTAAAACTAAAAATATTTTACCTTTATAAATCTTCCTGAAAGAAACTAAAGAAGACATGCATAAATGGAAAGACATCCTATGTTCATGAATAGAGGACTGAATAGTTACTATGTTAACACTATCCAAAGTGATTTACAGATGCAAAGCAATCACTATCAAAGTCCCAACTGCATTTTAGGAAAACTCGGAAAAACCCATCTAAAATAAATATGGAATCTCAAAGGAGTCCCAACAGTCAAGACAAATTTGAAAGGAAGAAAACAATTGAAGGATTCCTACTTCCTCATTTCAAAATGTAACTACAAAGGTACAAGTAATCAAATGTGTGGTACCAGGTATAAGTACAGACCTACAGACCAAGGGAACAGAAAAGGGAGCCCAGAAACAAACCTTTGCATATATAGTCAAATGGTTTTTGACAAAGGTGTCAAGACCACTCAATAAGGAAAGTACAGTCTCTTAAACAAGTGGTGTTAGGAAAATTGGATATCCACATGCATAAGAATGAAGCTGGACTGTTAGCTTATAATGTATACAAATATTAAGTCAAACTGGATCAAATACTTAAACTTAAGAGCTAACCTACAAAAAAATCTTTATGACATTGAATTTGACAGTGGTTTCCTAGACATGACACTAAAAGCACAGGCAACAAAAGAAAAAAAAATAGATCAACTGGACTTAATCAAAATTAGAAATTGTACGGTTGTTAAAGGACACTATCAAGAGAAAGAAAAGACAATTCACTGAATAGGAGAAAATATTTGTCAATCATATATTTCATGAGTGATATACATATATAAAGAGCGCCTACAACTCAACAACAACAAAAAAACCGCCTGATTAACAAACAGGCAAAGGACTTGAACAGACATTTCTCCAAAGACATAGAAATGACTAATTAGCAGATGAAAAGATACTCAAGATCACTAATCATTAGGGAGGGAAATGCAAATCAAAACCAGAAAGAGACACCACTCCACACCAAATAGGTTGGCTGTAACAAAACAAAACAAAAACAAAAACAAAAACAAAAAAACCCAGACAACAAGAAATGTTGGCAACAACGGGAAGAAACTGGAAACCTCATGCATTGCTGTTGGGAATGTAAAATGGTGCAAGCCACTATGGGAAGGAATATGCAGTTCTTCAAAAAATTAAACATAGAATTACCACACAATCCAGCAATTCCACTTACAGGTATATACTTAAAAGAACTGAAAGCAGGAACCTGAACAGATATTGTACACCAATGACCACAGAAGGATTATTCACAACAGCTAAAAGGTGGAAACAATGCAAATGTCTATCAACAGATGAGTGGATAAACAAAATGTGATAAATGCACACAATGGAATATTATCCAGCCTTAAAAACGAAGGAAATTCTGGCACATGCCACAACATGGATGAACCTTGAGGACATTATGCTAAGTGAAATAAGCCAGGCAAAAGAATAAAAATTTTATGATTCTGCTTAAATGAGATATTTACAGTAGTCAAATTTACAGAAACAGAGAACAGAATGATGACTCTCAGGAGCTGGCAGGAGGAGAGGAATGGCAAATTAGTGTTTAATGGGGACAGAGTTTCAGTTTGGGATCACGACAATGTTCTGGAGATAGATACTGGTGATGGTTGCACAACAATGTGACTGTGTCTCTCCATTCCAACAACGTTATCACCAGCAAAGACCAGCACATAGCAACACACCATCCTCTAGAGGAAAAACACCAATTACACTTCTACACTTGCCTTGAAAGCACCTAGAAGAACATCAGCTTTGAAAATAGGACTGGTGCTCACATTTCCCACTACCCATTCTAATGTATAAGTAAAAGTGGCCATTATGAGGTGATTCATTACCATAACTGCCAGCCTACTCTTGAAGCATTACTGTGTTTTACCAATTCCAAAGAAGAGCTATTTGACTGTTCTGGTGCAAGAGCACCTGCAAGTAAACAACATAATCATGAGAACTCCTCAAGGGATTACAGTACAGGTACTGGCATGTTTCATTCTAAAGGAAAGTCCTACGCCCGACGGATTTTATTAGCTTAACCAAATAGAATGCAAATGATGATGATGATGATGATAAAAAAGAATCCAAAATAAAGAAGAGTTAGCACCAGTCATAAAAACAACAGTCATGACTCAGGATTTTGAGGGAACCAGAACTTTGAGACATTATTCACGTTAACTCTTTCAGAACTGGTTTCGGTGTAGATCACTGTTACCATAATTTGATGCTATCCAATTAAGGAGAACCTGGGTGATTACAGTGCGGTCAAACATAATTCTAACTATATCAGAAAACAAAGAGAATAAAAATGTCTTTGAATCTATTTGTATCAGACCTAAGAAGTGCTGTGTTACTCTACAAGAATCAGACTCCAATATTTAAACTTGAAATACACAATAAATAAGAAGCTCAAAATACAGAGTCTGGCTCAGGAAGTGAAGATGACACTGCTATGCGGTAAGGCGGCTATGCTTGTCATCTTTATTAGCATTT